ATTTCATGGACAGACAAGATTAGCAGGTTACAGTCCATGGGGTCGCAAAGGTCAGATACAACTGATCGTACGCACACGTGCACAACCCTTTCTTCCATCCCTACTCTCTACCCTATTTTTATTCAATCCCTGTAGGTCAGCACTTTTACTAAATTCTACTTTATTTTTTCTGAAGCTCTTTTTTCATAAATATGCAAATATAATCATATATTTTTACTTGTTCTTTGTAACAGTCTTTTGCATCTTAACATCTTCACTTAACAATATATCCTGGAATTCATATTATGTTAATTCTTAATGATCTCCTTATTAATTTTACTGAGCATATTATTCCATTGATTGTCAATCCATCTAATTTCATTGTCTACACACATCAGTTGAGAAGAAAATTGAAGTTGTGAATAACAGAGGTTAGAACAGAGACCAGAGAATGGTGATAAATAGAGGTAGGTCAGGTCCAAAGGGTAATTTGATAGAATCCGATGCAGCATGAAGCACAAGCTGGAATCAAGATTGCAGGGAGAAATATCAATAGCCACAGATAATGCAGATGACACCACCCTTATGGCAGAAAGCAAAGAGGAACTAAAGAGCCTGTTGATGAAGGTGAAAGAGAATGAAAAGACTGGCTTAAAACTCAACATTCAAATACTAAGATCATGAAATCCAGTCCCATCACTTCATGGCAAATAGATGGGGAAAACAATGGAAATAGTAAAAGACTTTGTTTTCTTGGGCTCCAAAATCACTGCAGACAGTGACTGCAGCCATGAAATTAAAAGATGCTTGCTCCTTGGAAGAAAAGCTATGACAAACCTAGACATTAAAAAGCAGAGACATTACTTTGCCGACAAAGGTCCGTCTAGTCAAAGCTGTGGTTTTTCCAGCAGTCACGTATGGATGTGAGAGTTGGACTATAAAGAAAGCTGAGTGCCAAAGAATTGATGCTTTTGAACTGTGGTGTTGGAGAAGACTCTGGAGAGTCCCTTGGACTGCAAGGAGATCAAACCAGTCAATCTTGAAGGAAATCAACCCACCCAGACTATTCATTGGAAGGACTGATGCTGAAGCTGAAGCTCCAGTACTTTGGCCACCTGATGCAAAGAAATGACATTGAAAATGACCCTGATACTGGGAAAGATTAAAGGTAGAAGAAGCGGGTGACAGAGGATGAGATGGTTGGATGGCATCACTGACTCAATGCACATGAGTTTGAGCAAGCTCCAGGAGATGGTGGAGGACAGGGAAGCCTGGTGTGCTTCAGTCCACAGGGTCACAAAGAGTTGGACGTGACGGAATGACTGAACAGCAATACATCATTCCCTCCTTGTGGAAGGAAAGGCTTCAACAGGACAAAAAGAAGAAAGGGTCCCCATAATGTCCAGGCAGTGGGGCTCAGTCAAGTCCTCAGCAGAGGACACAGTCCTACACAGCAGATTAACCAACCAGCAGGATGCAGTCAGATCCAATGAATGTGTCAACTTTGCAGATTAAAATTTTGAAGCATTTGTGTAGGATTACTTATGCAAATGGCACAGCGACAGAATAATAGCCACAAAAGCAGGGGTTCTCAATTAGGATGTCTGTAAACCCTCTGAAATTTCTTGCAAAATGAATGGATTTTAGGAGGAAAGCATGCAAAATTTTCAGCAGGTTTTGAAAAGGAGCTGTAACTTAAAACCTTTTAAGGTAAGGAACAGTGATGTGGGGGCCAGAAAACTAATGGATGAGCAGATGGCTGTGGCCGCTGAATGGACTGTACCAGTCAATGCAGTCAGTGAGGTTGACTTTCCCAGGCTTCATCCCATATAACCATACAGGCTTTGCATGCATTAGTTCGTGCATCTCTATGGAAGTGTTAGTTGCTCAGTCGTGGCTGACTCTTTGCAACCCCATGGACTGTAGCCCACCAGGCTCCTCTGTCCATGGGGTTCTCCAGGCAAGAAAACTGGAGTGGGTTGCCATGCCCTCCTCCAGGGGATCTTCCCAACCCGGGGGTTGAACCCAGGTCTCCTGCATTGCAGACAGATTCTTGACCATCTGAGCCACCAGGGAAGTTCCATAAGCATCCCTATAGCAAGTGTTTATTATTAGTCCTGTCCCAGAGGAGACAGGCAATCCCAAAGCCATGACATTGACAAGTGGTGAAACATCTATTTCTGCTTTATTGACTATGCCAAAGCCTTTGACTGTGTAGATCACAATAAACTGTGGAAAATTCTGAAAGAGATGGGAATACCAGACCACACGACCTGCCTCTTGAGAAACCTGTATGCAGGTCAGGAAGCAACAGTTAGAACTGGACATGGAACAACAGGCTGGTTCCAAATAGGAAAAGGAGTCCATCGAGGCTGGATATTGTCACCCTGCTTATTTAACTGATATGCAGAGCACATCATGAGAAATGTTGGGCTGGAAGAAGCACAAGCTGGAATCAAGATTACCGGGAGAAATATCAATAACCTCAGATATGCAGACGACACCACCCTTATGGCAGAAAGTGAAGAGGAACTAAAAAGCCTCTTGATGAAAGTGAAAGAGGAGAGTGAAAAAGTTGGCTTTAAACTCAACATTCAGAAAACTAAGATCATGGCATCTGTTCCCATCACTTCATGGGAAATAGATGGGGAAACAGTGGAAAAAGTGTCAGACTTTATTTTTTTGGGCTGCAAAATCACTGCAGATGGTGATTGCAGCCATGAAATTAAAAGACGCTTACTCCTTGAAAGGAAAGTTATGACCAACCTGGATAGCATATTAAAAAACAAAGACATTACTTTGCCAACAAAACCAAAGTCAAGGCTATGGTTTTTCCAGTAGTCATGTATGGATGTGAGAGTTGGACGGTGAAGAAAGCTGAGCGCTGAGGAATTGATGTTTTTGAACTGTGGTGTTGGAGAAGACTCTTGAGAGTCCCTTGGATTGCAAGGAGATCCTACCAGTCCATCCTAAAGGAGACCAGTCCTGAGTGTTCATTGGAAGGACTGATGCTGAGCCTGAAACTCCAATACTTTGGCCACCTCATGCAAAGAGTTTACTCATTGGAAAAGACCCTGATTCTGGGAAGGATTGGGGGCAGGAGGAGAAGGGGATGACAGAGGATGAGATGGCTGGATGGCATCACCAACTCGATAGACATGGGTTTGGGTAGATTCCAGGAGATGATGATGGACAGGGAGGCCTGGCGTGCTGCTATTCATGGGGTCGCAAAGAGTTGGACACGACTGAACGACTGAACTGACTGAAGCTGATATTCGAGCCCACACCTGCCTAATTCCAGAGACCACATGCTGAAATCAGCAGCAAATCACTTCTCTCCAGTCTGGCCACTGCTGAATTACCACGTCAGTCCTGCATACCTTCCTTAGAGACCGAAGGGTAGCAGGCCCAGAGAAGAGTGGCCACACAATATGAAATTCACAATCTTGTCACTGAAAAGACCAATCCAGTGCCCTTCCCAGACTCTCCCCTCCAGTCAGCCACCACTGAAGCCTCACCCTGCCAGCTCCTACATCACAGGGCTCCAGCAGGCAGAAAAGGCTGGAGATCTTGAGCCCACCTGGCCCACAGGAAGGATGCTGTGACCACCCAGCTCTGGCCAAGTCACTGCCTTCACCCGCTGCTGGAAACTGGATTCCTTGGGTGGGTCTGCATTCTGAGTTCCTTGGTAGTAGAATTTTTTCGGCTCTCTGTCCTACGTCTGGACGTTTCTCCACCCTGCCAGCTCTCTTCTAGGAAGATTCAGCCTCTCCACCTGCTGACCCAGATTCCCACCTGGGTCCAGACCCGGGCTATTATAAGCACTCTCTCTTCCATCACCAGCTCTGCTACATCACCTGACAATCTGTCTCTTGCTATATAATGTTCTTAGTGTCTGCAAAGTGAGCTCTTCTTACAAAGCACCTCATGTTAACAATCAAGAAATTCATGTCAAAGCCAAATTACAGTTTATCACTTTTTAAATTAGTTATAGGCACTTTTTATGAAATGCCCACATCGTTATTGCTTCTCTATCCTGAAAAGGAGAGAGTGGGCCATCTCTGCCACTGCAGGACTGCCCCACAAGTTCAGAGTTCCTCATGAATATTGATGTCGATAGGGAAATAAACACCACTGATACTGAGGCATCTGATGGGAATACAGTTAATAACAAATGGAAAGAATTCACTGACTTGAAATCGTTACAGCAAAACCTTGTGACTCCACTTTTATTTGATTGCATTTTTTCTGGAAATTGGTCTTTTTCCATGACTTCTCTCTGGAGGGAAGTTAGGAATATTTTTCAATATTTAATAAGGAATCATCTCCTTCTTGAGGACATCCTCGTGTTTCAAATCTGGTGCTGGGCCTCAGCTGAACAAATGGGATTTTTCCATTAGATCTTTTTAGAGAAAAGTCAGATTCTGTGAGTCTGGAATCAGCCTGGACACTCAGCCTCTCCTGATAACACTGCCATTTAGGGAGCTGGTCAGCAAGAATGTTACTAGCACTTACTCTGTGCCAGGGACAGTTACAGACTCATGTAGTTACAGACTCATGTAGACTAACTCACATGACACATTCCCCTAGGCGCAGGAGCTTCACCATGTTAGAGGTAAGTCTGTGAACCTGGGCCTCCACATGTAACTTAAAATTCTCTAGAAGTAAAATTTGCTTTTAATGGTAATCTGTCTTAAGTCAAAAATACGTTAATTATGGTATAATTGGAAGTTAGAGGGAAAGAACGATAATTGAGGGGTGATTGCTAATGGCTTTCTTTTGGGGTGATGAGAATATTCTGGAATCAGTGGTGATATTCAACTTTATGAATATTTTTTAAAAACGGATTGGATGGTACACTTTGAGAGGGTAAATGCTATAGTGTGTGAATTTCTCTCTATTTTTTTTAACTTAACAAGAGAAAAAGACAAAAATGCAACAATTCTGGTCCTCTGTCTCATGTTTCAACCACCGGGGCCCCACACTGACCATGACTTTTTCCCCTTAGGCCTGAAACTCAGATGGAGAGGGAGGAAACAATAAAACTGAAGAAAGAACGAAAGCATAATGGTGCTGCAAGAGTCGCCAGGGCAGTGGTCCCCACCTCGCGGTGGAAAACAACTTTTGGCTCCCAGAAGGGTTCTCCCTGTTCCTGGCCTGAGGCCCTGCCTCAGCCCTTGGTTTGGTTTCAGCAACATTCTCCAGGCGGCTACCAAGCTGGGCCAGCCGGACACGCCTGCTGCTTAGTGAGACAGCGGGGAGAGGCCACCGACAAGCAGAGAAGTGGAAAATGTCCTTGCCGGAGGTACACACAGCCTTCAGGAGGAGACAGTGCTGGCACATGGGCAGATGCGATAGAAGCCCAGCCTAGGAGTGGGGGGGGCCAATGGGTCCTACTAGGGCCCCAGGAAAGCTTGCCAAAGTAGTGCCATCTGCTTGGGGTTTTGAAGGACGATTAGAAGCCCACAGAGGACAGAGAGCTCCCTGGAGAACGGGGCTGGGATGACCGTTCGTGTTTGGCGCCAGTAAACGCATACGTGCCTGAGAGTGGGAGAGGTCAGAAAGGAAGCCACGCTGAGAAGGGGACCTGGAAACAGGCTTTTAAGAAGGTGAAACGGGAGGGTGCACTGTGAGTCTGAGAACAGCCTTCCGGAGGGGCGGACGCTGTTCTTGGGAGGAGGGAACGAGGGGCGGCCAGAGATAATTCTGTTCACACCACTGCCGGGGCTCCTGGCTTCAAGACAGGGATCTCGTCTCATGGTGGAAGAGCTGGTTTGATGTGACTGTGGGTCTCGACAGTACAGGCATCCTGGGGACGACATGGGTTCCGAGCTCAGGGTTCAGGTCAGCTTGGACAGAGAGTGGGGGTCGGCCTGGCTGTGAGCACGGAGGCGGTGGGGGGAGGGTGGGGGGAGAAAGGAAGAGGGTGAGGATGGAGCCCTCAGGGGCAAGGAGGCAAGGAGGCCTCACGATGGAGACGGAAAAAGAGAAGGAATGGACATGGGTCAGACGGGGGAGGAGGAGAGGCGGAGCGCTCCAGGGGAGAGACCGCGAGGAGGGTGGGCACCAAGGATGCAGGCTCTGGGAGGCCCTGCAGGTGGGCATGATGACAGATGGGCAGGACCTCAGCGGAGACGGGGGCCATGTCCAGCGCTGGGACCATCACCGCCCCACACGCATCAGGATGGCTCCTAGAGAAAGAGCTAGTCTCCACTCTTCCTCGGAGAAAAGGATGCGGCCCAGACGGACCGGGCGGCCTGTCAAACACTGGGCCCAGGGCCAGGGGGCCCTGCCCTCCTGAAGCATTCCCCTCCACTATTCGCTCACATCTCAGAGCAGCTACTTTCCTGGGCCAAGTCTGTGCTTCTGATGCAGACCATGGAGGGGGCCCAGAGCAGAGGGCTGGTGCCAAGTGGTTCATGTATAAAGAAGCATCTCACAGACCGCGTTCCACCCGGCCTGCAAAGCTTCTCCAAACACACTGACGGAAAATGCATTCTGGAGACACTTTGGAAAGCGGGATTTTCTGAGGTTTACAAAAGGATTTGTTGAGAAAGAATGAGCCGTCACTGAAGAAGGGTAACTGTGTGTGGTTACACGAGATTGATAGCGTAGCGATCACACATGCTCACACGCTCACACACACGTGCACGCATGACGGCTCACGGGTACACCTCCTGGTGACCCCTCACCTGATCACCAGCGGGGGGCACTCTGTTATTCTGACCTGCATTCTCCTTCTTCTAAGCTCTGATCATCCCAGGCCATCTCAGCGGACATCATTCCAAGTTTAAAACCTCAAGACCAGGCTCCGCTGGTGGCTCAGTGGTGAAGAATCTGCCTGCCGAAGCAGGGAACACAGGTTTGATCACTGGTCCAGGAAGATCCTACATGTCGTAGGGTAGCAGCCCATGCACCACAACTATCAACCTTGTGCTCTAGAGCCCAGGACCAACAACTACTGAGTCCTCATGCTGCAACTACTGAAGCCCGTGAGCCCGTGAGCCCGTGCTCTGCGACCAGAGAAGCTGGTACAGTGAGAAGCCTGTGCACCCCAGCTGCAGAGTAGCCCCATGCAACTAGAGAAAAGCCCGTGTGGCAAGGAAGAGCCTGCGCAGTCAAAAATAAACAGATATTAAAACAAAAAAGCCTATGACTATCTGAAAAGAAATTGGTTACACTTTGATCTGAAACCACTCAGAGTCCCATTGACATTCATTTTTTTTTAATTAATTTGTTTTTTAACTTCAAAACCATTTCGTATTGGGGCATAGCTGATTAACAGTCTTGTGGCAGTTTCAGGTAAACGGTGAAGGGGCTCAGCCATATATATACTTGTATCCACTGGGAGGTTTCTGCCAGGCTCAAGTCTATCAGAGAGCTTTCCGAACGAGCTCTCCTGCCTGCCCGCTGGGCTCAGGGATGACCGGTAGATTAGGAAGTGAGACATTGCTTATGCTTGGGCTTCCCTGGTGGCTCAGATGGTAAAGAGTCTGCCTGCAGTGTGGGAGACCTGGGTTCGATCCCTGGGCCAGGAAAATCCCCTGGAGAAGGAAATGGCAACCTGCTCCCGCATCCTTGCCTGGAAAATCCCATGGATGGAGGAGCCTGGTGGGTTCCAGTCCATGGGGTTGCAAAGAGTAGGACACGACTGAGCAACTTCACTTTCTTCACAAGAGACAGTGCAGCCCTCCCTCTGTCTTTTTATTCACCAGGGTCTGCTCCCCCATGTAGTGGGCACTGCACTCCCCACTGGAGGCCAGGATTCCTTGTGGGGCAGAAACATGGACATTCAGATGCACTTTCTGCATAAGGGCATTAACCACACAGTCCTTGACCATGGCAGCTCTAGAGAGCCCCTGTAACCTGATCTCATGGTGACCTTCACCTCCGTACCCCCAGAAGCACTCGAACACCCCAGCAAGCCTTGACAGGCCCTTTTCAGAAGAATCTGATTCAGTTGGCGGGGTGGGACTCAGGAGTCCACAGTCTTTTAAATGCTCCGAATGATTGTTCCAACCGCAAGTGTGACCTCTGACCTTCTTTGGACACAGGCTGATGTCAAGGTGCCAGTACAATGTCTTGTTTTAAACCACCTGCTACTCTTGGGGCTGAATTCCTTACCCTTTGAATGTCTATACACTCCGTTCAGCCCACAGAGAGTTGACATGACTTGTCACCCTCCTCCAAGATGTTTTATTATAGAAGGGTAAAATAGGCAAGAGTGGCAAATAGCCTTCTCCTTCCTGGCTCAGAGGATCTGCTGCCTGCAAGACTTACTGCTGAGAGTCTGAGCGAGTGAGTGAAAGAAAGAAAGTGAAGTTGCTCAGTCATGCCCAACTCTTTGCAATCCCATGGACTGTAACCTACCAGGCTCCTCTGACCATGGGGTTTTCCAGGCAGGAATACTCAAGTGGGTTGCTATTTCCTTCTCCAGGGGATCTTTCCAACCCAGGGATCAAACCGCATGGCAGACAGACGTTTTTACCATCTGAGTCACCAGGAAAGTCGCATGAGTGAGTGAGGCCCCACCACAAAGGCCAGAGAGGGGCCCCCAGGCTGGGTATGGAGTTTCCCCGATAAAGCCCAGCAAGGGGAATGCATCTGGAAGTAGAAGGAAGAGAAGAGAATGAATGCAGTCAGTCTTGTCCGGTCACCAGTCGGACCTACCGTCTCACTCTGTCTTCACATCATCCCGCCACGGGGAGGTGACCGCTGCTCAGTCGCTCAGGCGTGTCTGACTCTTTGCCACCCCATGGACTTCAGCATGCCAGGCTTCCCTGTCTTCCTCTACTGCCTCCCAGAGCCTACTCAAACTCATGTCCTTTGAGTCAGTGATGCCATCCAACCATCTCATCCTCTGACGTTCCCTTCTCCTCTTGCCCTCCATCTTTCTCCAAAGTCCAAAATCAAGGCAGTACCATGCTGTCTCTAAAGATGCTGAGGGAGGGTCGTCTGAGAGTCTCCCAACATCTGGGGGCTCCAGGAGTTCCCCGCCTGCGGCTGTGTCACCCAGTCTCTGCCTCAGTCCTCACATGGCCATTGTCTCTTTGTACCCCGCCCCCCCCCGTCCTCTCCTCTTCTCAGAAGGACAGCGGTCACTGTATTTAGGACTGTGGATGAGAAATGTCAGCTCCCGTCTCAGTAACCAAAGGATGTTGCTGCCATGAAGCCATCGGCCGCTGCAGCAGCCCCCCAGCTGTGCACCCTGAGGGGATGCAGGATGGAGAGAAGCAGGAGAATGGCCCTGGATGGTTAGTATGTGTATCAGAGGAATGGTTTTAGCTTTTTTATTGAAGTGTAGCTGATTTACAATATTGTGTGAATTTCTACTCTACAGCAAAGTGATTCGCTTATACATATACATGTCTGTATATAATCTTTTTCAGATTCTTTTCCATTATACCTCATTACATGAACAGCACAGTTCCCTGTGCTTTACAGAAGGACCTTGTTGGTTATCTATTTTATATGTACTGGTGGTGATGTAACCTCTAAGTTGTGTCCGACTCTTGCGACCCCGTGGACTATAGCTTGCCAGGCTTCTCTGACCATGGGATTCTCCAGCCAGTAACACTAGAGTGGGTTGCCTTATATATAGTACTTTGTATCTACTATATGCCCAGACTCTTGTATTCTCCCATACATAGAAAAGCACTAAATTCATTTACTTGAGATGCCTAGTTTTTCTTTGATTAATATCTTGATGCTCCACCTACAGATTTTTGTTGCAAAAACTCCTATATATCCTGGCTCCTCCATCACCTCTTTGGAGGAGTCCCTCAGAGCTTTTCTGAGAGGCTGCCTTCTGGGCTTCAGTCCTCAGCAAGTCTACCAAATAAAACATAATTGTCAGCTCTTAAGTTGTGCTTTTTTTTTTTTCTTAACAAGGTCCACTTGAATTCAGGATAATCTCTTCTCGAGATCCTTAACTAGGCGCATCTGCAAAGACCCTATTTCCAAATAAGTTCACGAAGTTCACAGGAACCAGGGCAGAACCAGGGAGAAGGGTGTCACTATGAAACCTACTACAAGGGGGTCGCCATGTTACTCTGATTTCACAGAGGACATAGGAGGAAAAGTTACTGATGAGGGTACAAAACTGGAAAGAAGCAGCACTCAGGGCTGTTCTGTGTGATCGTGAGTCTGCGTGTTTGTTCTAAAGAAGGCGAAAGAGGACTCCCAGACATCTGATGACACCCAGAGCAAAGTTCAGTTCCCAGAAATGGCATTTGTTTTGATCCTCCTAGAACTAGGGCGCTTATGTAGATTCTTTCAGTCCATAGACTGTAGGCCACTGTCCAGGGCGGGGCCTCCAGCAGGCAGCCACCCTCCCAGCCAGGATCTGTGACATTGTCCCCAGTGACCGCACCGTGAAACAGAAAGATGCTGCTTTAGCAAACACACACACACTGGTGATTCTCCC